GGGACTAGACGAGGCCACACTAAAAGATACACAGAACATAAACACACTCCACTTCATCTGTGTCTGTGTCTAATGACGTGTGTGAGTAATTACTTTAAAGCTCAATGTGTGCGGGTGTTTAAGTGTCTGTGCTCATGTATGTTTTTATCTCGGTCTTTTTCTGTGTCTGCAATGAATGTGTTTAATGGTGTGTGTGGAAATAATCACTTAATCGTCGCGCTGCCTCCATTTGAGAAGCATGTGTGTCTGAGTGTGTGTGTTTTGGTTTCCTCACTGTAAAATAGACTCAAAGATGCAGCAGACATTTGTAAGTGGGAAGGTCTGGAAAATAAGAGAGAGTTAAATAGTGAGAATGATTAGTGAAATGAAGGGGAGAGAGGGATTACAGTGTGATGAAAAGAAAGGGGAAGAGATAAAAAAGAGACGGACTGAAGGAGTACACAGGTGGAAATAAAGACCTCTACCCTTTATCTCTCTCTAATTCTCCACAATAACCCTTCCTTCCAATGTTGCTCTCCAAACCGTCGGCCTGTGAATTTATAGTTGGCCAATGATTGCTTCTCGGGCCATGATGGCTGTAAATTGCTTTGCCAGTTGGTAAATGTTGGCAGTTAGAAGGTATACAAGTAATTATTTCCGCTTGTGCTGATTGAGACATAATTCCAAGACGAGGCCCTAGAAAAATGACAGCATTTTGAAACAACTCTGTTTTAATTTCCGAGAATTTCTAATTAGAATCTGTATGAACATGGGGATTTTTTTTATGTGGTTTCCTCCAATGGGGCCAGAAATAATTAAACTGTCAAGGGGAAATAAATACGTATAAACAAGGCATAATTTGTACAGCGCGCAGCACCTTGTCAGGCCATGACTTTTTGTGAAGAAAAACAATGTGGGGAACAATAAAGGGGCATAGAGGACACACACATAACCCCGCACACACAAACCCACATTAACAAACAAACACACAACAATGCAGTGACACACACACTTTGACAAACACACACACCAACACACACCTAACCCCGCACACACAAACCCACATTAACAAACAAACACACAACAACGCAGTGACACACACACTTTGACAAACACACACATGCAAACACACCTACTCTTATCTTTTATGGATCATACCTTGAAAAAAGGACTTTAAATGTTGTTCCCACTTAAATCCATGAGAATATCTACAGTATGCAATTTAGCTCCTGATTTAAGAGATAGGGAAGTTTTGGGTACAAAGTGGAAACATCCCAATGCTCGAGCCTAACGAGGCCTAATGTCTATCACAATTTATCGTACCAAAGGGTGTCACAACTTTCCAAATCCATGATTCCATTGGACTTTTTTCAGCATTGATGGCTATGCCATTGTGAGATTATGAAGTATTGATTTTCTAAAGACTCCCTTTATGGTTTCAATGTGAGATAAAACCCCCATAACGTTTTGGGCAATGTACCACACTAATGTCGTCAAACTGCTTCTACTTACATAGTCAAATGTTATTAATTAATTGAATTACAATTACAGATTTCACCAGTAAATTGACAACAAATTGTAGTCCACACAAAAACATAAGGATCCACTATAAAATAAAATGCTGCTTAACGCATTTAGAGATTCATTTTGCACCGGCAAAAAGCCACCAGATACCGAACTGTCAATGCAATTTTGGTTTTCTTTTTAGATCTCTGCCTCCGTGGTGTTTGGAAAGTGCAGCTGCAGGCTACTAGTGGGTTACACTTTTGTCTTTTGAGCTGCAACCCTGGTAAGCTGCGCCATTTATTTTTTCTTGGAACGTGCTCAAATAGGCTTGAGAAAAACACTTACTGGAAGAATCCGTCTTTTGATGTTGATCAAATTAAAAGCACATTTCTATTGTTCTCTTGGTGGCCAGAGCCATTGCATTTGACAAAATTGTACTGTACCCAAAACATAGCTACAGGAACTTAATTGATGCCACCATCGTTCCAGATTGTATGCTTTACTTTTGTGAAGTCAATATAATCATAATCTATTACTAGCACTTATGTCTTTCCTTAAGAGTGAGCTAACCTGCTGCCACCAAGACCCAGATCTAAATAAGCGCCAGAAATCGAATAGATTAATGAGTGTGTGGTGAACTACACATGTGAGAAAATGATTAGTTTTTTATGACCTTCATATTATAATATCAAATTGAGCTATGACACAAAAAACAACAAAGAAGTGTGACTGCTGCCCACAAAAAAAAAAAAGAAAACACATCAGCAGAACATAAAATGTCTGCACAAATTAAAGGATGCAGCAGTAGCACAATGTCTGCAAGTGAACCTGGAAGGGAGCAGGCATGTGAGGGGAAGGAGTGTGAGAGGCTCACAATCAACATTTGAATAATAGCTACAGTGCTTTGACACTGAACACCTCTTCAATGACAAATTACAAGAGCATGTAAAGCACACTTAACAGCAGCTCACTATTCAACAGCGTGTATCCACAACAAAGCAGAATAATAACCGCTTTATCTTTAAAGGTCCCATGTCATGCTTTTCCGGTTATTACCCGTCCCCTTGTGTGTTATGAAGTTTTTCAGCATGTAAACGGTCTGCAAAGTCACAAACCCTCAAAGCACACCCTGTAGCGAGTAAAACTCTAACACAGAAAAGACCTGTCTATGCTGCCCCAGAACGCCTCGTTAGAGATTTCTCTTTTTCCATTGTTTTCTTCCTGGGTACAGTGACGTGCCCATACCCAAATGGACCAATCCGTGGAGCTCCACACACACACACTCTTTTAGCGGCAAAAATGTGACGCGCTGGGGGGCGGGTGTGGCGTGCTAGTGGAGCCCCCTCAGCACCCCCCCCCCCTTCCCGCGTCCATTCGCGATGTCTCACTGTCTCGCAGCAAGCAGGAAACCACACCAGTAAGCCAGCTCACACTGTCAGCTCCTCGCAGCAGCGAGCTGACCAATCAGAGCACACTGGGCTCACAGGGAGGGGGGGGGGCAGGAGCTCCAACAAGGCGTTTAGGACAGAGAATGAAATTCAGTGAATACACATACTTTACAGAGATGCTGTGTGAGAAAACCAATGTGAGTTTGGAAAATTGCACAATGTAAATCTATTCTAGTAGACCTCAACAATGGAATTATGATCAGTAGAAATGCCCATGTCATGGGACCTTTAACACAGGCAACAAAACACAGCATATTCTTATTTGACTACTGTACCTGCACCTGTATTGTAAACCAACATGTTTAAAACAGTAAAAGTCTCACAGTTGAGCAGTAGTGCTGTGAGTCACCCTGCCAATCCTTAAGAGTTGGCAACACTAGGTGGATTAGAGGCTATGGATCTCTTGTGCAGGCTCAGAGTGAGCTCACACTGATAGGGAGAGCTAATGGAGATGCATTCGAACTGAGAGTGACTCAATTACAATCTGACATCAGCTTGTAGACCCCAGCTTTGCCTGAATACACAGGAACGCACACACACATACCACACAAACACACACACACACACACTCACGGCGGTTAACACACTACAACCTAAATGAATCTCGTAACACAGCAGATATCACAGGCTTCATCAGGCTCTCAATGAAAGTGGTTTCAGACAGAAAGTGTATATTCTGGTTTAACCTGGTAATTCCATTTACTACCAAGCATTCAGCTGACATTTTTATCTAGTGTGTAACAATAAATTGTACAAATTGCTTAAAATCCTTTTTTCACCCAAGCAACCAGATAAGCCAAGTGCAAGAGGCCCCACACCAGCAGTATGGTTGCCTGTACGATGCAGGAAGGTCCTCATGTGATATGTTTACCAGCCAGCCAAGCTACAACCGGGTTCAGTGTGTTTCACTTCCAGTTTTTAGACCTCACACAACACCACATCATCAAGCTCTCAAGTTGACTCCTGATGCTTGCTTTTCGGAATCACCCCAGCCAACAAAAACACAAACAAATTATTTTGTTGTGTTTTATTAATGAACAGGATTCTTTCACACAGCTAAAGGACGACTAAAATATGTATTTTAATTCACTAATATACTTGTACATGTCACCACCATTAGGATTTGGATTGTTTAAAAACTACGAATTGATGTTATGATCACAGTTTGCAGAAACTGCAGCAATCAAAGGGATTTTTCCTGCTTACAGTTACATCCGCTATTACAATTTCTGAGAGCGGGGCTTGAGTGTGCAGACACACATACACATGTACTATACATGCCTTCGCAGACTAAGGTCAATGGTGCGCTCAGATACAAATGATTCTCATCTAATATTAATAGGATATGCTAAACGGTAACACAGAGGCAGAACAGAACAGGTTCTCTGAGTGAGTGTGTGTGTACACATGCATGTGTTTTCCTGCCGTGCCGTGCACAGAGTAAATGCCGCTGGGACTACAATGAAATTCAAATATAATAAAACTCACCATGTTAACATTCTGGTACACTATAACTGTGCATGTTAATATTTTGGAAAGGGGCTCCCTATGGAAACAATCAAGCGAACAAAATAACACTGTCCTCACCAGAGAGCAAATAGTGTTGGTTGTTCTTTTCAACACTACACAAACTTATGTAGTAAATAAAATGTTTTATGCTGTCCTGACAGGTGACAGGATCTTATGGCCCTGTGATGATACCGATTAAGCAAAGGTATATATGGTTAACATCACCCACCATCTTGGAACTGTGCAATTAATGGCCTCTCTTTTGTGTTTGGCAGCTGAATAATATATTCAAATTGAATATGACCCCCTTGATTAACATACTGTATATTTTACATAGATGGCATGTCTTCTCAATATTGACTTAAACCGTAGTTTGTGTTGTCTCCAGTGTACTCTTCAAACCCCAGCAACAACAGGATGTTGTCATGGCCCATGAAAAAGTGGCAGCTATGCCATACTGAAGATTAAAACTGGTTGTATTGAGTTCGCAATTCTGTCTGATACGAGGCAACATTTGGGTCAAGTCAAATTACATTTGGGTCAAGTCAATTGACTTACCTTACTTGCAGTGTAGGTTGAAAGGCATCTTGCAAGTAGTTTAACTTCATCTGCTGAAATGACACAACAATGGAATAACAAGTTAGCTTAAAAAACTAGACCTTTGTCTGTCTTTATTGAAAATGAAACCATTAGAGAATTGATTGATGTCCACATTCATGGATGAAACATTTTAAATGTCATGTCTTCACAAACTAAAAGGCTTTCACTGAACTTTGCTTTATCATATGCTGATAGTTATGAACTGTGAAACTAAACATGAAGAGAAACACTAAGACTTCAAAGGGGAAGGTCTTTTGGTCAGTCATCTGCTGTTTTCATGAAGTATGATATTCAAAGAGAACCATTTAGGTGTGTGAAACCTGTAAAGAAGCATAATGCAATCAAGGAACTCACAGAGTTCTCTGTGTGTGTGTGTGTGTGTGTGTGTGTGTGTGTGTGTGTGTGTGTGTGTGTGTGTGTGTGTGTGTGTGTTTAAATCCATCACCCTTTCTTTGAAACAAAAACAACCACTTAGGCATGAACAGCAGCGCTTGGGAGACATCAATATTTCAGTCAGGTGTGTCGAGAAAAGGAGAGAGAGAAAGAGCGGGAGAGAGAGAGAGAGAGAGACACATGAAAGCAGGAATGAGGGGGACCCTTGCCATTCTGAGGCATTCCCATGACTGACGGTGAGACTACGGATGTGTGTGTGTGTGTGTGTGTGTGTGTGTGTGTGTGTGTATGTTGTGTGTGTGTGTTTGTGTGGGAACAAGCATGATTGTGTGCCATTCCCCCATCCTCACCCCACCCCTACACTCACCATTGTGTGTACCACCTCTGTCACCTTTCCTCTAATCAGGAGTTTAAATCAATGACGTTGTCCAAAACTATAATTGCCACTCCTTAAACTGCTTCTCTCGCAATATGCTTTCACCAAGAAACCACTCGGCAGCAGAAATACGCCTCTGCGCGTGTCGGTGTGTGTGTATGTGTGAGCTGGATTAAGAGTATTTTCTCATTACGGCAGTGTCTGAACGAGTAGAAAGTGCTTCTCACATTGTTTTACAGCATCCTGAAAGCTCAAAGCTCAGCACTAAGCAGCATAATATCCTGTAGTCCCTCACTGATGCCTTAGCCTCAAACTTGTCACCAATTGTTCATGAGCCGGACCCATTGGACGTCATTAATCAACTTTTTTGTTATGAATGAATTATTCCTTGGCAGTGGCACGAACACAAAAAAGTTTCTCAGAGACAGATTGTAGGGGCATCGTACATAACTGTACCGCCCCGCCTCTTCCAGATTATGCACTTTACATTGCACAGCATACACCCGAGTCCACAAAGTCCTCATACTTTATTCTGTTTACTGTGGTTGCATTTATCTGGAAATGCGCCTCGTGTGCCTACTTTGGCGATAAAAAACTAATCCAACCCACTCTAAACTACGTTTATTTGTATTATTATTGCTGTTTAAATGGGACAATTGGACTTCCTCCAACAATTTTGAGACTGGCAACCATCCTGCTACTGCGTTGCGTATGTTTGAGTCTGAGTGTGGGTGTGTGTGTGTGTGTGTGTATGTGTGTGTGTGTGTGTGTGTGTGTGTGTGTATGTGTGTGTGTGTGTGTGTGTGTGTGTGTTTGTTTTTGTCTGTGCTCGGACTTTAGCTGCCAGTCTGTATTAACCTTGGCTGATGTTCCATTAACCAGAGACAGGAGTTTCCTTAACCTGACAATCCACTGACAACAGGAAAACACACACCTACACACACACTCACACACAAACACACACACAAGCACACGCACATTCACTTGTGAGCACACTTCTGTAACATGCAGTCAAAAAACTAAATAGATAGATGGATAGATGGATAAGTAACAGCAATTGGAATTTAAAAAGATGTAAGGAGCTTAAAAGTGAGAATTACAAATGTGGCAAATCATCTTATTCTTCCTAACTGTCTAAGAAAAACAGGGACAGAGGGCTGGAAAGATATGTAGAGAGAGAGAGAGAGAGAGAGAGAGAGAGAGAGAGAGAGAGAGAGAGAGAGAGAGAGAATGAGCAAACCAGTGACAGAGGGAGGGAGAGAGAGAACGCAAGGTGGAAAGAGAGATGGAAATGGAGATGGAAAGAGAGATGTCTGGTTAACAAGGTGCTGAGCACGACAAGCCCTGGGGAGTCCACGCTCCCTTACCCTCTAAGATTAGATATCTCTCTCTCTGTCGATCCCACTCTCTCTCTTGTTGCGACACAAGGGGAACATGCCACTATCACAGGGGGACGCCCCTGGAACCATTGCTGCCCCCCCACCCCCTCTCTTTCTCCAGAGTGATATAGAATAACTGTTCTTCTCTCATCCCTCTTCATTCTCAACCTTTCATGCATTCGCCCTGCAGTTGCATTGACTGTTGAATGGCATTAGATATGATGTCAGACACACATGCTTAACAGATTCTAGATATGATGTCAAACACACATGCTTAACAGATTCTAGCCATTTAATGTAAGGTACAATTGTGTTTTTCTGCTAAATAAGGGAAATTCCCCTGACCTGACTTGACTCTGTCGATATGTGAAATACCCAAGTGGCTCCAAGTAGCTTACACTCAGCTTTTATCACATAGTGCTTATTAGAAAACATTGCAAAATAAAAACAGATTTGACTTTTTTTCTTCTCTATTTGTGAATTGGGTCTGAAAAATATCTGTTAATATATTTTACGTAAAGTGGATTTCTAATAGTTTTTTCCAAGGGGGACATTTTGATCAGGTCCAACATTTTAACATAAACATCTGCTTTATGGTGTAATATATATATATACACTTTTTTCTCAGCCTCCTCTACCTCCTTCTTCACCCTCCTGTTCTTCTCTTTTCTCTTACTTATTTCCTCTGTCTCCCCCTTCTTACAAACCCGTCTCTCGCTCGCTCTCAGTTGTTTGACACCTCTCTCCCACCTGAGCATATCTATGTGTCAGGACAAATTGGCCGAGACTCACATCTCTCTCTCTCTCTCACTCTCTCTTTCTCCCTCTGTCTGCTCACAACTCAACCGGAGAGAGAAAGAGAGAACAAGAGACAGAAAGAAAAAGATTGATAATGTGTAGAGCACGGGGGAGGAGGGGCAATACGCATCAGAGGAAAGAAAAGTGTGGTGAGGACGGAGGTTAAGGACAAAAATAACATGGTGAACCATAAAAAGGAAGAGACCAAAAGATAGAAATTAAGATGTGCAGCATACTGAATTTTGTTCACTTTAATTCCGTCTGTAAAACCACTCTTAAACTCTTTTACGTTTGTAAAACTAAATAGTTTTTGCCTATTGGTGCATTGAGTCAATACTCTATCAAAACAACTTAATCTGAAAATCTGAAAAAGTGTAAAATATGTGTGGTTTCGTTGTATTCATACAGTACAGAGAGATACTTTTTACACAAATAACTAATGAGAATAATGAACTACCTTAGTTTTTTATTAGAAAATCAATGGTTGGCTGGGTTAGGGGCTGCAAAGTACATGAGGGGCGTGTTAGTATGTAAATTATGTGTGTATATGTTGAGAGGCAAACGTAGCAAAAGGCCGCTGTGGTTTCACAAAGCTAGAAAAAGCTTACACTTCACTTCATGGTTTCCAGTCTATTATTCATCCAAACTTAAGAACTCTCTCTCACACACATGCAAGCACGCACACAAACACAGACGCAAACACAGACGCACACACACTCATTCTCATTCTTCTCAAATGAATTTTGGCTGTGCACATGTTGTCAAACGAACACTTTCAAACACATAGAGAAATCACATAAGCAAACACGTTCTCTCTGTCGCAGACCCCTACTTTCTCCATCATACTTTAACACACACACACACACAGAGGCCTATAGCATTGCGACAAAGAGATCAGAGAAACGGGCAGAAAATAATAGAATCTTCATCCCAGTAATCCATATTCATTCTTCTCATCCCTCCTCGCCTCATCCCTCCCTCCCTGCACGCCACGATTCCTCGTATCTGACATTCAAATGAGTTGTCTTTTCTCCCTTGTTAGACACACACTCACACACACACACACACACACACACACACACACACACACACACACACACACACACACACACACACACACACACACACACACACACACACACACACACACACACACACACACACACACACACACACACACACACACACACACACACACATAAATGCATAAACATTCACTCACTGTCTCTCTCTCTCTCTCACACACACACACACACACACCACCATCCTCTTTCTTGGATACTTTCTGCCCCGTTGCACCCGTGATGGCAAATTGAGCGCCTCCCGTCTCTCCCTCTCTTTCCCTCACTCACCCCCTCTGTTGACTCCTCTCATCTTTTCCCCATCTTCTTCTCTACTCTGCCTCTCCACCCTCCACCCCCTCCTCACCCCCTCCAGACCCTCCTCCCTTTCTCTCCATCCTCCTCTTCGTCTCTCTCTCTGATTTGACTACAGTGGCAGGTAGGGTTGGATCACAAACCAATGAAGGGAGAGAAAAGGCCTTTATGTGGTGAACGGGTGCGTGTCTGACACACTCTCAAGACATCTCACTCACTCACCGCAATACATTATCAGAGGAAGGCCAACTACAGAGAAAGAGTTCCTCTGTAATTCTTTCACGATGTAGCTGCTGAGTTGATACATTCTTACATCTGTCCGTCTACCTTTTTATCTTCCTTTCCATCTATCTGTCTTCCTTTGCTCTCTGTCAGTCTGTCGTGGTCCTATTAGTGGAAGATGGAGGTGTGATCATGGTTACTGTGTGCTAACAGGGAGCATGCTGCCACGGATGACAAATATTACACACACACACACACACACACACACACACACACACACACACACACACACACACACACACACACACACACACACACACACACACACACACACACACACCACACACACACACACACACACACACACACACACACACACACACACACACACACACACACACACACACACACAGAGAGAAAAGACTTGGTAGATTTCATCACTGCTCGTAATTATGATCCTGTCAAGT